CCCATCGGCGACGACCGTGACGGCCTCCGGGCTCGATACGGCCAGTCGATGGCATCCAACCAGCAGTCCTACTACGGCTACGAGCAGGACGCCGCCCACCACGCCTACGACCGGAGCTCCTCAGCGCCTGCCACGCAGCCTGGCTCCATGCTCAGCCCCATGGGCCGCTTCCCGAACTCGTCCACGTCCCAGTCATCCACTTCGCAGCTCCCGAGCCTCGGCTCGCAGGCGTCGGCCAACGGCAGCTACCTCGGTGGTGTCTACGGCAGCGGCGCCGGCCGCATGGGCGGCATGAGCAACGGATCCACAGGCTCGCTCCTCAGCCCGCCGCTCCACTCGTCCGCCTCCAGCACGAGCTTCCTCTCGGCTTCGTCGGCGCCCAACGGGCTCGCGCATCACCGACTGCACTCGGACAGCAGCCTAGCCACGCTCAGTTCCAACGGCGCGTCGAGTAGCACAATGTCGCCGCGTACACCGCTCAACGGACCGGGCTCTGAGCCGCCGCTGCTCTCGCCCTCGGGCAACAAGATGTCGGGCTTCGCCCCGCCTCAGCCCACAGTGCCAACGGCATCGGGCACGTTCCTCCAACAGGACACCTCGCGTCCGTTCCCGCTCAAGATGCCCAAGCCCGCCACGCGCGGTCGCTCGGGCACAGGCAGCTCGTACCTCGATCAGCCTCAGCAACAGCAGCAGCAGCAGGGCTACTACGCCAACAACCTTGCGCCGATCAATGTCAAGCTCCCCATGCAGCACCACCAGCAGCAGCAGTCGCAGCCGCAGCAGCAGCAACAGCAGCAGCAGCCGCCACAGTTCGGTCGATCGAGCCCGTACATGGCGGTGCAGAGTCTGGATGACCGCAGGCAGTTCCTCAGCAACACCACGCCGCGCATGGACCTCTCGCCCAACGCGGGCATGATGCCCATCAAGTCGGAACGCGACGTTGGCGCGCCCCCGCCTGCTCCTGCCGGCTCGCTCGGTCTGGCGTAAGGATACCCGCATGCCGCCGCGCGTGAGCGCCATCTTCTTTCTTTCACTCTGTATTCTTTTGTACCCAAGCTCAACTCTCTCCCTCTCTTTGTTACGGATCGTAACGGTGTTTAGATATCCCCCGATGTGGAAATGGAATCGATGTGTCTATGTTATGCGGTGCGCTTGTGGATGTCGTGCGTGGAGAAGCCGGTCTGACGATCGACCGAGGCGAGGAAGAAGCCCATTCCCGTCCAGAATTGTTTCTGCACCTCGCTGCCCGTCCAAAAGGGGCAGAGCGACGTGTGGTCCAGACCGTCGATCTCAAATGTGTACCACCGATTGGGCGCAGGTTGAACGAGGTCCGTCTGCACGCTGTGGGTTGCATTGGTGTCGACTGCTTCGGCAGTGGCCTGGATGGCTTCAGAGGGCGGCAGGTTGGGGAGGAAGGATCGGAGGTCTTCCTCGGACGGCGTGACGAGGGGCGGTTCGTCGCCCAACGCGCGCAGCGACGTCGAGAAGGCAATGCGTGCAGCCGAAGTAGCCGACCCGAGCATCGACTTTGTCTTGCGCGCTTGCGTCGCAGGCACTGGCAGCAGCTCTTGCTCCTGCGAGCCCGCGACTGAAGGGCGTAGGTCTGTCGACTGGGGCCGTTTCTTGCGCGTGCCAAAGGGGAGTGAAGCAGGCATGCCGTTGAAGTGTGTGCATCGGGTCGGATCGCAGTCGAGCGGATGAAACTGCGATGCGAGCGGAACCACGCCGTCGTTCTGCCACCATGCCGATAGCTCCGCCACGCGTGCCTGCACATCGTCACCATCGCTCTTCTCCGCAGCCGAGAGGAAGGATGGCGTAGGCTGCAGACGCGAGTAGTCGAAATGCCCAATCAGATGCGCGGTCAAGGTAAGCGGCGACAATGACCAGTACGTCTCGGGTCGATGGTACGATGGTCCTGCCTCTGCGCTGCTGGCTTCAGGAACCGTCATTCCGCCAGCATACGATCTGTACCACGTTCTTCCCCCGCGCGAAGGGTCGATGTCGAGGCCCCAACCGTCCTCGGCACGGTCTTGGTCGCGTTCGGCAAATGTACAGTCCCAAGGTGCACAATCGCGCCCTCCTGCCCAATCGCTCCTCCACAGCTGCCTGAGGAGCTCCCGCACGCCCGACGCCTCATCCTGCGTGGTCCAGTCCATCTTTGAGGCGACGTCAGCAGGCGGCGCGACCTGAGCATCCGCTGAGGGTTCCGCTGCCGCTGCGACCGTGTCGGCTGCGAGCTGGGAGCGACGGATGGCTTTGCGTCTGGCCGAGAAATGCCATGCGTCGGCATGCACGTCGAAGGGCAGATCGAGCCAGGCGGCGATGTGAATGAGCTTGCTGAGCATGTCGCCGAACGAGAACATGCGCACCTTTGGATACGGTAGCGGCTCGCTGCCCAGACTGTACACCAGCGGCGTACCCCTGAACGGCGAGGATACGGACGTAACGGACAGCACCAGATCCTGCGCCTTCCACCCGCCAGCATCGCTGCTACGGAGGCCGAGAGCGGTATCGAAGAATCCCTGTCGCAGCAGCTGTTGCAGCTTCAAGATGGTCGGTCCTCCTAGGCTGTGTCCCAAGAAATGGGCTGGCAAGCCCGGTGAGTCGCTGCTGGGACCCCACGTCGGACACAGTGGCTGGGCGTAGTGGCGTCCGAAGCGCGAGTGGCGATGTTCACGCGCATGCTCGGCGCCGTAGTCGACCGTGCCCCCGCGCAGCGCGTAGAAGAGCTCGCATGCTCGATCGTGCAGACTCGACACGGGCCCGATGGGCGCAAACACGACCGCGCGCGAAGAACCCAACCCCGACCGTCGTGAGCGTGGCGATGAAGGTGGCGAGGCTTGATCGACTAGCTGCTGATGGCCGACTCCGAGGTAGGTGCGGAACTCGTTGCCCCACACCACGCTTTGCGCCGCCGACAGAAAGCCCTCGCAGATGATCAATGGCGGGATTGATGCCGCGCCCCCTGAATCGACGCTGCCAGTAGAGGCATCTTGAACCGAGTCGGTCGAAGGACGTGAAGAGGTGGATGACGTGGCCGCAAAGGGCCAGAATGACGGCATGGACGCCGAACTATGCGTGTGGGTATAGAAGGTCGAGTGGTGGTTGCCACATGCGTGCTATCGATGGGGCGCACGAATCTTCAGGGTATCAACATGATGGTATGGAGGAGCAAGGAAAGAGTCGTACGACCAAAGCACGCTTTGTTGGGTCAGGGGCAGCGTCCTAGACTCAGAAAATTTGCATTGCCGAGATGGCCCTTCGCACTGTTGCGTGTGAGGAACGGATGATCGCCAGCTGCTTCGCACGAGGAAGGCGTGCAGGATGGGCTGATTCGGGCCAAAGATCGGCGCGATGCCGCAGGCTCGGTTGAGCGGATCGAGCCGAGCCTTCCAGCTGCAGTTTTGAGCTGCGGTGCGTTTGGAGCGCTCTATTTGGCAGCTGCAGTGCCCGCTAAGCCTCCACACTGCCGAGCCAAGCCGAGACAAGCAGAACCCGAAGAAATCCTTCGGAACTCGGAAGGTCCCAGCCAACATCGTTCCAGCCCGGTTCCTGAGTCTAATGCCTCGGCATACAAAACAACGCGTCATGTGTTGCAAGGCACTGCAGATAGACATCTGCGGCCATAGAACCTTGAAAGC